GCCATTTTTGTAAAAAAAATTACAATACTTGATATTTTAACATGATTCAATAATTATTATTATTAGCCATTGCCTAAATCCAATTTTCGTGCACTTTTCTTTAAATTATTTTTCTGGAAATTGAAATAATTGTTTTCTTTATTATATTTTCAACGAAAACTAGCTCATCAACGCCTGATGAAAGCCATTTTTGTAAAAAAAAAAATTACAATACTTGATATCATGATAAAAATATTTTTTTTTTTTTGATTGTAGAGAGTGTTATCATGGTTTGAACCATGATAAAAATATAATAAGGTAGAACCACTGAGAGTCACTTTTAAAATTCTTGACGTTTCCAAACAATTTAATTTTTAAATTTACTTACAAACTCACACACACATTTTCATTTTCAATCTCAAGCAACAACAATTTCGAACAATTTCAATTTTTTATTTTCACTTTTTTATATGATTTTAAAATGTTGGCAAACTTCAAAAAAAAATCATGGCCGACAAATTGAGAGAACGGTTCTACCTTGCTATGTTTTTATCATGCTTGATATTTCAACTTGATTCAATAATTATTATTCAATCATGATATTTTAATTGAAAATCTCTACCTCTCCTACCTGATCAAAACATGATAAAAAAAAGTGCTTTGGTTTACACATATACATATGTACATACATTTCCACTTCACACGCTTTAAATTTATGTATGAGCATAACTCTTCTCACTTGTATCCAATTGTGTAAATTGCTACCAAAATCTTTGAATTAGTTTTCCAGCGCAGTTTCTGTAAATTGAAACAATAAATTTACATATGTACATTGTACATACATACATATGTATATTAATTTATGGACAAACCTATCGCTTGCGTATTCCTTTTGCTGCAATCCCAAACGAAGATGTTAAGATTTTTTGAATAAAATTGAAAATTTACCCAAATAACGACCAATGTTCGCAAACGTTCAATAGAAATGAAGGCACATTATTCAGGTAATAGCAGAGCATGATTCAATAATTATTGAAAATTTCTGAGCGTTTTTGACATCTGCCTAAAAATGAAAACAAACAAAGAAAACGAAAAAGGCGCGGTTATTGAGCAAGTTGTTACTCGAGCAAGTTGGTTAATCAGTTACTCGGTTAATCAATTACTCGAGTAATCAAGATTTTGATTACTCAAAACGATGATTAATCGAGTTACTTGAAATATGATTACTCAAAAAAAATAATTTTGCTCGTTAAAAGAGTTTGCTTTGGAAAATGCTTATTTTCTTTTTTATATTCTGTATCATGATAAAAACATAGCAAGCAGCGTTGCCATTTTAGCCGTTTTCCGGCTAGATTTAGCCGGTTTTGATAGCAACTAGCCGGAGAAAATTCGATCTAGCCGGCAGCCGATTTGTTAGCCGGTTTGTAAAAAGAAGTTAGCCGTTTTTAGCCGATTTTACTATTTGCCTAATTTTCAGGTGCAAAAAGTAAACAAGTTGTTCGAATGCAATAATGTAGACCCAATGAAGATTTTTAATGAACTCAATTACTTTCGCATCTATGCTCCCTAGTGGTTATTAGCGCGGACACTTTGATCCTATATGCTCCCCGTTGGAACCATACCTTGCTCCATTTCCTCAGTTTTATCACAGTTTTGAAGAGTATTTAAAACAAAAGTAAGCACAAACGCTTTTCACCACGAAGCCGAGAAAATAATTCGAGAAAATGGTCGCTATTTTATTATCACTTTAATAAAGGAATTACGCCAACGCCTCCCTACAAATATTGCCACACTAAAAAAAAATTGACTTTTTTCGGTTGGAAACGCATTAAGAGTAATTAAACCAAAAGTATTTGTTCAACTACAGCAACAAAAACACAAATATAATGCCGACGAAATAACATCCATAGAGATGCAATGGCAACGGTTAACGTTACATACCTGGAGTAATTTAGACTCAACTGTAAAATTTTGGGCCGAAATTTATCAATTTCGAAATGCCCTAGGAGAAAACCTTTTTGCTGACCTTTGCAACCTAGTTCTTAGTTTTCTTGTTTTGCCTATAAGTAATGCAGAAGTAGAGCGAATATTTAGTTCAATGAATATAATAAAAACTAAGCAAAGAAATCCAATTTGCGTTAAAACGTTAAACGCTATTTTATATATAAGATACGGTTTAAAACGTGAAGAAAAATGCTGCCATAATTTTACTGAATTCAGGTGATATATACAATAGTGATTCATTTGATGATGAGGAATATACACTCGATATAAATTAATGGTGTTAACTAGTCTTTCGTTTCTTGCGATTTATTTAAATAAAGCATGTGGATTTTCACTAAAACATTATAGCCGTTTTTTGCCAGAGTCTATGTGAAATTTCACTAAAACATTTTAGCCGTTTTTAGCCGCTTTTTTTGCCAATCTAGCCGGTCGGCCAAAAAGTTCTGGCAACACTGATAGCAAGGTATAACCGTTCTCTCAATTTGTCGGCCATGATTTTTTTTTTTGAAGTTTGCCAACATTTTAAAATCATATAATCATATAAAAGTGAAAATAAAAAATTGAAATTGTTCGAAATTGTTGTTGCTTGAGATTGAAAATGAAAATGTGTGTGTGAGTTTGTGAGTAAATTTAAAAATTAAATTGTTTGGAAACGTCAAGAATCTTAAAAGTGACTCTCAGCGGTTCTACCTTACTATATTTTTATCATGTTCTGTATATGAAAAAAGTATGTATGTATGTATGTATTTCCTTTTTATTTTTGAAAATGGAAACGTTTTTTTCAAAGTATCAAGGAACTTCAACTGCTTTATATGTATGTATGTAAAGAGTACTTTGAAATGTTCATTACTCATTTTATTCATAATGTTGATTAATCATAAAGCAAATTACTCAAATATTTTTGTTTTTGGTTAATAAAAATCTTGATTACTCGAGTAACTGAACATTTGAGTAATCATAATTTCCAATTAATCGAATAATTGAGTTATTTACTTTATGATTAATTAAAATTTTGAATAATCAATTAATCGCACAGCCCTAGTATTTATTATAAAATATAAAAAATGAAACTTGATGACAATTAGCAAAAAAAGTTCATAAAATATGGTTTTAATGATTGAGAGTGTTTTACAATCGCATATTATCGGCACCGGCCGATTTTTCAATGCCAACGTTCTGACCACAAATGTGCACCCACTTTTCACGCAAGGTAGAAGACGATGTAAACAGAACCAAAAAACATCAAAAACGCTACGAAAACTTTTTTTTGAAAATCGATTACAAATACAACGATGGCGGATTACGTGATCTGTAGTCGTTGGTTCATGCCATGAACGAAAGACACAAGATCACGCCTTAAGGAAAGAAAGAAAAAAGTTATTTTCTAGCTGTTGAAATCTCGACGCCATCTTTGTTGTAAGAAGTAAGCAACGAAGAGAACAAAAAAAACCGCGTAATTGTTGAACACATGAATAATCATTTTTATTATGCAAATTCTTCTATAAATCATGTCGTTGTGTTAAATTATTCTTTACCTTATGTGTGCACACGTTGTCACAATGAAAACATAAGCATTGGATGTTTACATCAATTTCATAGTAGTCTTATTTTAATTTTGAGTCATTTTGCATTTTTTATACAGGTAAATAGCATATAAATTACGTAATTCACGTAGGTAAATCAATATTACGTTCAATATTTCGTTTAAAATGCCAGATTTCCTGCAAATACATTAGAATTTACAAAAGGAATTTCACTACTAATTGCCTACTTTGCGTACTTTTCTACTACCATTTTCGCAACAAGGGATTGCGTTCTTGCCCTTTCTCTGCCTTTCGCAAATGCAACCTTTTGTAAGGGAGTGTCAAACCGCAGCTGTCAATAATTATCTAACCTTGTATTATTGAATCATGGGAATGTAGTAAATGCCACGATATTCTATCATTCTGGAGTAAAAGCTTTAAATATGCGTTCTCAACACTCAAAAGCAAAAACAAAGTACATATAAATTTTCAAAGAGTTAAGGCGAATTGTGTGTGTGCCTCATATGTTGCTTGGTGTTAATCGCGCTGGCGCTTTCCATATACTGCTATTGCCGCGGCAACTCCGGCTATGGTGCTAATGCAATTGCGCCGCGCAGCGCAGTGTTATCCATGCCTAGACCTTTGGTTTGCAAAAACTTGACAGATAATTAGCACGCTATTTTTTGTATCTGTTCATTGTGCAAATTGCGCTCCTGCCGGTTTTTATATTTTAACATACTTATATATCTTGTAAAGTGCTGATCAGAATTTAAAAAAGAAAATGTCGCATGCATTTCAAAATGCTGACTCCGTTAAACAGGCGCTATTCGAGGAGCTGCAAAATTTGCTCAGCTCGGAAACGAATGTATTGCAATCGGCTGAACAAAGAATTAAGCACCTAGAGTACACCGAGGGTAATATCGAAAATGTACCATATTACTTGGGGGAAAAGACTATGTACATCTACTTCAATTACAGGTTATGGCGTATACTTATCCGAGTTAATTATGAATCAGTCTTTTGAATTGCCTTTGCGTCAGATTGCTTGTATTATGCTTACCCGCTATGTGGAGAATCACTGGAGTGAGGAAGATGACGTTGCTACAGAGCAGGCAAAGCGTACAATACGAAACATCTTACCAAATGGATTATACGATCCAAACTCAAAGATTCGCTCGTCGGTAGCACATACTATTTCGACAATTGCTATGACCGATTGGCCTACTGTGTGGACAGAGTTATTTGATATTATAATCAAGTGTTTGGGTGGTAATGAAGACTCTATACATGGCGCTATGCAGATACTTCAAGATTTTTCGTATGACGAGAAGCAAGTGAAGGAACTGGGACCCGTTGTTATATCGGAAGTCTACCGCATATTTGAATCAGAACAGAACTATAGCATTAAAACGCGTACTTCAGCTATACGCATATTAAAGTCACTTTTCCTGTCCATTAGTATAAATATTGCTGATAAACACGAACAGGCAACTATGATGAACTCGATCCTAAACAATTTTATGGAAAAGTTGATGCACTATTTATCAATGAACAGTGGCAATACCTCAAACTTCATGCTCAGGACGGAAATAGTGAAACGTTTGTGAATATTACGATTAACATTTTAATACAATAATTCAAATTAATGTTATCTACTTTAGTATTGACGTTCCTCGTGACTGAGATGCCAAAATATATCCAACCTTACATGGAACGTGTACTACCAATCATATGGCAGCTGCTAACACAAATTGCAGATGTTTACGTTAAAGTTACTGTTAACCAAATCGAGCCAAATCCTTTTCCTATATCGGAATCTGTCGAGGATGACGAACTCACTAATTTCTCAACAATGATTATCCAGATTTTTGAATTTATTCAATGTATAATTTGCACTGGGAAATTTCGTTCTGTTATCAAAAATGTACTAACCGATTTGATATATATTGTAATTGTGTATATACAAGTGCCTGAAGAACAAATTGAGGACTGGAACGAAGATCCTGAAAAATTTGTTGATGATGAGGAAGAAGGGGGCGTGGAATTGACAATCAGATTGTGTGGACAAGATGTCTTAAGTGTAAGTATAGCTAGATATGTATACCTAAGCACATGCATAATGATTTTCAAACTGAGAGCACCTATCTAATTATCGTCGATTAAAGGCTCTATGTGATGAACTTGGTACCAAAGTATTACCGGCTTTACAAGAAGCTCTGGGTCGTCATATGAATGTAGCGGAGGCTGAGAAGAGTGCACGCAACCCAAACTGGTGGAAGATACAGGAAGCCTGTATGGTAGCAGTACACTCATACCGAGAACTTATTCTTGAGACTGAGGACCAATTCGATTTATTGAACTACCTTACACTAGTTCGGAATTTGTTGAATTATCAAGACTCGGCTCATTTGGTCGGACGTGCCTTGTGGACACTAAGCACTTATTCCAAATCAAAACTTTACAATCCGCAGATGTTGGAGGAAATCTTGGTCGCAACTATGCAAAGTCTGTCTTCAGAAAAATCAATAGTATTGAAGATTAGTGCTGTGAGGTAAGTCTATATCTCGCATTGTTGTTGTTGTTG